ACATTTTCATGACCTCCTTCATCAAATTGCTAGTGAATTGTGAACCTCTATAGCTAATAAGAAATATTGGGGCCCTTGGCGTAAAATAATCTGTTCGATTAAAAATGTAGAGACTTCTTTCACTGTTGCTTCTGATGCTGCCTTTGTTTCAGCATACTTGGTATAATAATCCGTCAACACAATTATCCATTTCCTTCTTATTTTTGTCGATGGAAGGGGCCAACAAAGTCAATTCCGATTCTTTCAAAAGGGTAGTTAGCTGGGGGAATAGGTTGCAAAAGTCCAGAAGGAGACTGATTTGAAGCTTTCCGACTTCGGCGAAGATTAAAATTCGGAAAAATATTTCAGCATGGAAGGCCATTAGTATTTTTTTCAAACGGTATTTTATTCTGGCGACGCCCAGATGACAATTAAGCATATGGCTGTGGTATTCACTCATGAATTCCTTCCTTCTCTTCTTTGGAACTACCAGCAACCATACCCTACCTTCAGGATTTTGATTTTTCTTGTAGAGACACCCATTTTCTTCTTTAATATTCAGTGTAATTGAACGCTTGTTTTCACTAAGGTAATTTTCTCAATAAAATCATCCTTTTCGTCTATTATTTGATTCGTAAATAGTCTTTCATAATTTTCGTCCTATTCGTTTTTCGGTAAGGGTCCTCTATATAGACCATCAGCGTCCAGATGTTTTTTTTTCGATTTGTGCATAATTTCGATATTATATTACTGAATCTTCAGTGCCCATCGTGCTAATCGACGGTCAGATCTTTCAGATTCTTAAGCCAGCAAAGTGCGTGATGATCATTTACGATTTTGAAGTGCCTTTCATATAGGTAGGGTCGTAACTTGGACATTGACCACACAACAGCTAGACATTCTTTTTAAGTAGTCTAATAATTTTGTTCAGGTTTGGTCAATGTTCGACTCAAATATGAGATCACCTTTTCTTTATCGCAGAACTTTCAGACTAATGTTGCAACCAGGCCTACGAGTATATTTCTTTTGTAGCAAAATTATATGAATATATAATATTTTTTGATGAAATATAACTCTTGTTTAATTCCCGCAATACCTCGAGATATTTCTGTTGAGAAGGTGTTGAATATTATAGCCAGTTGATACTTTGACAGAAATGTGATAAATGGTTGAATATATAAACGTTCGGATGGTAGTCAGTTGAAACAAAGAGGTTTTACTGTATCTTGCAAGACCTGTAAGTCCGGAGAAGTAATACTCTCCGCAATACATTTTAATAATAAATAAAACAGCTTTCGAGAATGCGTTTCTTGTTTTATTTTATATCATTCTCAAATTTCAGGTATCACAAACCCTTTTTCAGGAGTACATGAAAAAATAAATCCTAACTTTTAACTAGTATCTACTGTATAACCCCGCTAATACGGACCCCGAATTTAGCGAACCTTTTCTCATAGTGAACCTAAAACAATTCCCAATTCCATTCCATTCCATTGAAAATACCATCGTTTTAACGAACTTTGCGATTTTTTAAAAAGCGAACTGCCCCTATATAACGGACATAATTTCAAGCCCCAAAAAAATTAAATTTAAAATACAGGGCTTATAACGAACTTAAAATTGCAATTAATAGTTTTTAGGAACGAAATTTTGAGAATATTTCAGCTTACAGATCGCGATTTCAAAACAATTAATTTCGGGGCATTGTTTGTTCACATTTACGTTATATTTTTGCCGCATTTTTACACTTTTTACCTTTTTGAATAGAATGTTTTTGCTTTCGAAAAGTTTGTAATAGAAATAATTGAAATGGCTTCCAAAATATAGAAAAAAATCAAAGAAAGGCATTTTCAAAACCAAAACCCATCGCTAGAAAAATGCATTATTGACTCCCTTCAAATTTTAACAACGCACTAAAAATTTCAGAACATGTTAAAATAACAGAATGTAACTTTCCTACAATGATGACCAAAAGTTAAGTTGCACCTAGTTTTCGGTCCATAACTTCATTATTAAGGGATTTAAAAGCATAAAACAGCGGCCGCGTATTAAAAAGACATGATACGGCCACTTAAAACATTTATTGTTTCTATGGCTAGGTCTCTCGCCTGACTGCTGATTTTTGTTGTCTAAACATTTTTGATCGTTTCTTCTCAAATCAATTTATATTCTTTTGTACTCCAATGGATTCTACACGTCGTTTATCTGATTATTCAAGGTGGTGTGCTATTGGATGGATGGAAATGGGATTAAACCAAGCTGATGCAGCAAGGCGTCTAAATGTTTCAAGAATGGTGGTCTCACGCCAGTTGAAACTGTTAAAAGATACAGAGAATGTCTCAAGAATACCTGTTTCAGAACATCCAAAAATCACAAGACCAGATGATGACAGATTTTTGGCAATAGCTGCCAAAAGCATAAAAGAGATATCACGCAGGATGCTTGTTTATGAGCTCGAATCGGTCACTGGAAGAAGATTAATGTATACACTGTGCCCAGAAGAGTAAATGCTGTTTGTCTCTATGCAATACGCCCAGTTGCATGCATCCCAGTATCACCATTACACAAAATGACACTTTTGAATTGGAATAGTCAGCATCAAGACTGGACAGACAACGACTGGAGCAAAGTTCTCTTCACAGGTGAATCCCGATTTAGCTTCCAGAGTGATTTCCGACGATATAAGATATGGAGAAAGGTTGAAACACGATATTGCTCATCAAAGGTAAGAGAAATGAAACCTTGGTGTTGGCGGTGTGATGGTGTGGCAGGCAAATCTCTCAACGAACGCACCGATCTACATGTATTTAAAGGAGGTTCCTTGCCTGGTCAAAGGTTTCGTGATGAGATCCTAGAGCAATAAGTTCTTACGTTAGCTCACACAGAAGGCACAGATTTGGTGTTAATGGACAACAACACTCGTCCCACAGAGCGAACATGGTGACTTAGTATTTTCAAGACACTGTAATTTAAAAAGAAATGCACTAGCCATCCATTTCTTCAGATTTGAATCCGATAGAACTTGCTTAGGATGCGCTTGGGAGACAAGTAGCCGGTCTTTGTCTCCTTCCCTGAAGCCTTGATGATCGCAAGACTGCCCTCCGAAAATAATAGACTCTAATTCCTATTGAACTAATTAACAACCTTGTAAAAAGTATGAGAAGCAGGGATCAAGAATGTATTGATGTAAGAGGGGATTACAGCCATTATTAAATGAGTAAATTGCTTTTTATTTTTAAACATTTGTAAATGAAATTTCTGAGCTCTGGCTATTAACCATCCCTAATTATCGATAAACTCATTATAGAGTATTAACAATTTAAAAAGTAGACACAAACATATTTTGGAAAATATAAATTTAATAAAAAGCGCAACATGCTAAAAAGCAGGTTATGTTTTATAAAGACTACTTTATTTAATATCAAATAAGTGATGAAATACCAATTGTAACTCTCATTTGGCCACCAGTGTAATAGATAAAAATAGAAGGCTCTTATGGATTGTTACAAATGCTGCGATCACACGTGTTAGAATGAACATTTTAGAAGAGTTCTCTATATCTAGTTATCCTAGGCACAAAAAAAAACAGTTCAAATAATTTTAGAGACAAAATGATTCGAATAAGTTCAAAACAAAACTGAATATAGACTTCAAAAGAATATGTGTTTCTGACAATAAAGGAAAAATATATATTAACCCTTAAAACACCTGTGCCCCGTCTCACGGGCCACAAACAAATCGGCTGATTTATTCTAAGAAACGACCGCTATAATTCTATTGTTAGAAGGGTAGCCTTGTTAGGTATCTGACTCATTCAGGGTTCGCGGATATCCAGTGGTCGGCCCGTTTTACTACCGATTTTATGTTTGCCATTTCGCACTTTTCGAAGACGATTTCACCGATCTCGCGTATAAAAATGTTTTGTATACGATAGACCGGGTCAAAAACCTTTGAATAATATTCAATTGATTCAGAATACAAGGAAATTTAATTCTTCTATATGTAAATAACGATTTTTAGACAATTTTGATTATTAATGAGAGGCTGTAAAATAAAAGATGATAGAAATCAACTAAACGTATCGTTTTCCACTTAACCAATGAAAAATCAGCCAATATAGAGTAAGCCATTTTATAATTTCGATTTTAACCGAGCCTTTTTGTTAACAAATAATGCGCTCAACAAGAAATCTTGTCCTTCCTGTCCTTATTGCGATGAAAATTATATTGGGAGAACTTGGCTCATCAGTGATCAACCCACCCAGAAGTTTCGCCACTTTAATCAACAAGACCGCTTTTTAGATATCTAATACTGTATTGAAATATTTTAGTTATATATATGCTACATTTAAGATTGTAATTTTATAAATGGTTTCCAAATAAACTATGAACATAAACTTTCAGGACAATAGAATTACATTTAAATATTTGCATCGAGCAATGTTCTTTCACAAACAATAGGAACAAAGCCAATTCAATAGAGTTAGAAGCTCTAAAAAGCTTGTTTATCTTAAACACAAAATATACTAGTTATAGACTAGGATTTATTCTATCATATACCTCTTCAAAAGGGGTTGTGAACAACAAACTTGAGAAGAATATGCGGTAAAATAAGTAACTAATGCCAGAAGGCTTGTTTCGTTTATTATTCATCGGCCTGTATGTGGCGAGTCTCCAGGAATACTGAGGGGCTGGCTCATCATAGAGCTGGGAGAGCATATGGATTCAGTTTGTTGTCTACAAGGGCTGTATATTGTGGTGGTTCGTCTGATTTTTAAGAAATGATTCAATTATTTATCCCGGGTATTTTAATTACTATAAAGTAATACTTAAAGCCTCCCTGCATAAGTTTCTTTTTTTGTGAAAATCAATATTAATTTCAAAGAGAAATATGTACTATTTCTAACTTTTTGGATGACGTATGAAAAGGTTGAATATATGAAGAGTAATGGTCTATATATGATTGGATGACGTATGAAAGGGTGAAAATGTGAAGAGTAATGGCGAACGAAAAAATAAAAGTGTCCAGTTGCGGGAATCGAACCCACAACCTTCTGCTTACCGGGCAGGTGCCATGTCCACTAGGCTACCCTGGACTTATTTTTCCGTTCGCCATTACTCTTCACATTTTCACCCTTTCATACGTAATCTAATCATATATAGACCATTACTCTTCATATATTCAACCTTTTCATACGTCATCCAAAAAGTTAGAAATAGTACATATTTCTCTTTGAAATTAATATTTATTTTCACAAAAAAAAAAGAAACTTATGCGGGGAGGCTTTAAGTATTACTTTATAATCATACACCGCAGTCCTTTATATTATTTTAATTACTACAGATATAATAACAAAATAAAAATATTAATGTTAATTTTCAGTCATTATTATTTTTATAAATTAATAGCTAGTTAAGAAGAGTTTTAAAAGGTCGTTGGCTGGTGGTGAAGTCAAAACATTGTCTTCCCTCTCTGCCCGCGCCGTCGTACATGCTCCGACCTGCCATACCCGACAGCTGGTGGCGACCGAATTGGTAACGGTTGAAACACCGTCACATCATAATGGCTGTGGTGAACAGTAGGGGAAAATATTGACAGTAGTGTGTGGTAACCAGAGGACATATATTGAAAGTAGTGTGGTGTGACCAGGGGGACACATATTGTCAGACTTTAATTTATACATTCACAAATGCGATACAGTAGAACCTCTATGGACACAAAATCTAATGGACACCTCTATCCAAAGGAGTTTTATTCGCCGAAAGTGTCTTTTTAGAAAATTACTGCGCTCCAGTAAAAGGAAGACTATCTTTAGGCTCTGCATCTAGTTATCTTTTAGATATAGGCTCTATTGTATTCAATATATTTGCAAAAAAATATTGGTTTCTATGAAAATATTAATATTTTTTAAACATTGAGAGAAATGTTTGAATCCAGAAAAAAATTCTGGAATTGTGGAGGCAATAAACTATTCCACCGTGACTTCTGAAATATTTCTAATGTAGTTGAAGTGTCTGTGTGGGGAAGAGGATGATAGTGATCAAGAGGAGATTGCCCAACTGATGCAGCTTTAGCCGTTTCTTTATGGGGAGATGTCATCCAACGCTAAAATGTGTTCTAGAGCTAAATTTTGTATAAATTTATTTTTTTAATAAAATAATTATTCGTGCTTAAATCCTTTCATTTTATATAAATAAATAGCGCGTTATTGCTTTATGTTAATTTATTTATAACTGACCTTTTCCTTATTGTGTTCCGAAGAGCATTGCTCGATGCAAATATTTATATGTAATTATACTTTCCTAAAAGCTTATGTCCATAGTTTTCTTGAATACCATTTTTAGGATTCCAACCTTCAGTGCAGCATAAACAACCAGAATCGTTAACGACGGTTCACCTTTGATGAGCCAAGCTCTCCCAATATTTTCATTGCAGTAAGGATAGTAGAAGATTGTTTGTGAATAATAGAATCATTCATTCTTGAATCCTTTCATGTTCTATATATTGATACGCGTTATTGCTTTATGTTAATTTCATTTTGCGCCAAAATAATTTATTTTGAATTTGAAAAGGATCTCTTTAAAGGTCCAATCGCTGCCATGACAGTTCAAGTTCAAGGCAACTTGGGTGAAAGAAATTAAAGAGGTATGAGGGTATCACAAATATCTATATTTGATGAGATATTCAAAGCACATGGTCTCCAACATAATTTATCAAAGCCTTTTCACTATTTCGAGAATCCTTATTTCTGATTTACTTTCATTTAAAATTATTAGGAGTTAGATTCTGAATGAAATTTCAAAATATAGATTTTCATTTGTAGGTTAATTAAAAAAAACGATCAAAACAAAATAATTTGTGTTATTAGATATGTTTCTTATTTTCTGATAAGGCACAATTTTGAATTTATATTAGAACTACAAGGTAATAGGACCAACTCCAAATAAATTAATGCCCGGTGACATTTCAGTAACAGTGTTAATTTTTTATATTCAATCTTTTTACCTTGAAGTTTTCTTATTTTATCTTTAGAAATAATCATTTGTTCTTCACATAATATAAGACTGTGTTGTATGTGACAGAGATGTATAATTCAGGATTTTGCATCACATTCAACCACATATAATCCTGTGTTATCTAAAACTACAAACGACTTTCAGCTGGAACCTCTGAGATCAAGGATCCACGAAAGAGGTGTGGAATTCTAACAAGGCCAATGAACAAGTTGTGATGACAAAGTTCACAACTGAGAAAGTCAAGTCCAAATTCGCCTTGTGAGTATTGCTCATCTATAGGATATGTCGCTGCGAAATTGGGATAGTCAATGTGGGTGACTGGTATCAATCAGAACAAATCACAGGGTAGAAGACCAACTCTTTTACTTCACATCAACAAAATAGAGAATTCATAGAAAAAACAAACAAAATATTACAGCAGTGTTCTTTGACATTAGGCAATTTTGGAGAGAGTCTGTAGAATCACCCTCAATAATATTGCCCATGAAGTAGGAAAAGAAGGAAACCTTTGTTTCAGATAATTGACCTCTAAGACAAAGTATATTCAGTGCACGATACAATAGTACAAATTCAAAAATAACAATAATATAGAGTGGGGTCCAAATGATCAGTATTGGGCCTGTGCTCTTCTTTCTCTACATCATCAATATACACAACCATCTAAATCCTGATACAAAAGTGGCCATTCAGATGACATAGTCCTATGGGACACAAATACCCACATAGGGAATATCTTGCACAATCTCAATAACTCAAAAAAGGAAATAGAATATTGGACCAGTAAATTAAAGCTTATACTCAACCCAAACAAAAAAGAGGATAGCACCTCCACTACAGACAGATGAATATAGAAATAAAATTACACCCACCTTATTACTAAATAGTAAATTACTCTAAATAACTAATAAACCAAAGTTTATGAGTGTAACTTTGGAGTCAGAACATCGTTTTACAAAACATACCACAAAAACCTCCAATGGAGTACAAAACAAAACAAAGCTGCTTCTGATATTCATATCAGTATATGGGGATCAAAACTCAAGACCACCTACACTAGATTCGTCCGATCTGTCTTGGAAGATGACTCCCTAATTTAGAACCAATTTTCTAAACAAAGCTTAGAAGATGAAATATATAATGTGAACTTCAAAATCTTTAAATAAAAATGAAGACGTTTTCCAATCAAAATTCACCAACAAAATTAGAAGCTGTAGTTAAATCATGTAATATGAAAACTAGACTTCATCGCTCTTCAACGCTACAACATAATAACGAGATAATAATTAATAAATAAAAATAATTATTTAAAAAAGAGATTTCATTCAAATTATTAGAAAGGAAAAAAATATTTCAACTTCCTTTATTGAGAAACGTGATGATATATGAGTTGAAATAAAAGCGGCGGGGGCGATCATCATGAATTTAGAACCTGATCTGATTTAATATGTAGTAACTGATTAACGATTCTTAAATGTGATTACTAAATATTTGCCTCTCTCAATATAAACTTCCCCCGCCACTTTAATTTTAACTCATATATATCCAATTTCTCAATGGCAGAAGATAAAATATTTTATTTTTTTAGTGAATATAAATTAAAGCTTTTTAGGTATCTTTTATCTATTAAATAATTATTTCGATTTTAGTCATGAATTTTTACAAAACTTAGAATCAAAAGTTAAAATATATACGAAATCTCACTAAAATATTTAAATGCACACATCAATACTAAACCCAATATTATTAACTACTTCTATATAACCATTCGCACACTATGACATTAGAATATGTATGTAATTAATCCAGGTTCCTTAATCCTTCAAAGGATCTCTCTAACCACTTGCTCTGTCAGTCAAAGACCTGAATATTTTTTATTTTATTTTACAATGACTGTGGAAGTACTAAATATCAATAGTAACGACCATATTTATATCTAAGGATATTATTCATTGATTCCAGGTTGAGATTTATAATTCAAAGGAGAGGGGCTGTTTGATTTCTTTTTATCAGAAAGCTGATCAGATGAAGAGGAGATGACCCACTGTTTGTCTTCATTCTAGCAGTTAGGGTAAAATCTACTCTATTTAAAAATTGCGCTGATTATACTTGAGCGTGGTAATTGCCAGTTATGATGGTTGTTGAAGTGCAATCATGCTAGATTATTTCAGCATGGAGATCAATATTTTTAGCGTAAATACTCTGAGTTTACTGGTTGTATAATCCCATGTAAGGTTTATCGATCGATTCTGTGTGACCCGAGTTCTTTTATTGAGGGAAACGCTTTATGGAGAGATTTTTGAAAGACAGTGTATAAGTTAAAAGGTGCAACGGGCTTAGCTCTTCGGTCTCCTATTTTATTTTCCATAATACCGCTGTGACCTTTGACACAGTAGAGTTAAAGATTGTGTGTATAGTGAGTTGGACTGCAGAAAGAGTCAATTTGAAGTCTGAGGCAATACAGAAGAACAAGGATTTTTTCTTGGAAGGTTGACTATTGATGATATCAGCCGCGCATTGCACTTCAGAAACAGCTCCGTCTATTTTTTCTTTTTTTTTTTCAAAGGAAATATGAAATTTTATGTCTTATACTTAGCCACCACAGTCAGCTAAAAGTTTGATATTTAATACTTTTGATTTTTAAGCTGTTTTAAGCCAGTATATCAATTTAATATTTCTATGAAGTCTGGGATTATATCAAAATCAATTAGAAAAATAATTGAAAGCATGGAATTTAGTTAATTTCTGACCACATTTTTATAAAATAATGACCGCTCTTTACACAACAAAAAAAGACATTTGGAAGGCACTATAATACATTAACAAAAATAATAATCAATTGGGATTAGGCCTCTATTTAAAATATAAATAATAAATTAAATTAAATGATAAAAAGGAATTGTTTTTAATGGTGACATTAAAAGTGTAATCCTATATTATCATATTATAAAAATATAATAAATATATAAACATACGATATTGATACCATTTCAATAAAAAATTATTATATTAATTGAATTTTGACACTTTGTAATTCCAAAGATGTGTTTCAAATAGGAACCTGAGAATATTCGTATTTCTAA